AGATTTCACGTACGTCATTTTTTTAGGTTTGGGGTTTTTTTTTTCCTAAATAGATCCTATACTTTTTGCGCCTCCAAGAGTTAGAAGACGCTCAGATGGCAAGAAGCCTGTCACAGTCTGTCTGTACAGACCTGTGCTCTAGGAGGTACAAGCAAAAGCGAGACATAGATACACACCCTCCTCTTTCCAATATCTGATCTGGAGGAGGGATTCACATGGCTATCCTTTCCCTTTGCTACTTCTTCCTCCCTGAACTGCACACACCACACCGTGACATCTCAGGACTGCGCTGAGTGGGCAGCAGCCAGGGAGAGCTTGGGGCTGCCTTAGGAAGGGTGCAAAAATCACTTTGGCATTGGCCAGAATGAAAAAAAAAGGCAGGTGTTTAGGTGCACAGACCCAGCTACTTTAACAGCTTATCTCTCCTAAATGACTGCACGTGCTATTAGCAGAAACATGCAAAAACAGAACTGCAAAATGAGCGATGGATGATATTCCTCCTGGTCAGCAAGGTTACAAGACCCGTGGGCTGGTGGCTATTCTGTCAGGCAGCGCAGGGAAGGAGGCTGGCTTTCTGCAGGACATTGTCGTCCCTGTTTTGTAGGGAAGGAACAAGCACTGCAACACCATGAGACATTGTAAAATCATTTGCATTCATTTGCATGAACATGAAATCTCTGCAGACCCCCAGACTTTACACACTGTATTAAGAAGCTAACATCAGCTGTAACCTTCTTGCAGAAAAAAAAAAGGTATCATTTCAATGAAATACTAATTGCAGAGCACATCCTACTATGGCTCCTCAGGGAGGAGAGAAAAGCTGTAGGGAGGACTGCACATGCGGTTCATTTGCATCAGTTGTCCTTATTATTCCTCCAGGTTCTCTTTTTTTTTTCTTCACTATTAATTAAAGCTCATGCTGTGGCAACCATGAGGCAGAGAGGGAGTGATGGGGAGGCACACTGAGTGACTGGCAGACATTTCAGCACATTTAACTTATCCCACTACATCTTATTTTTTCCCGATTTCCCTATTTTTTCCTTAAAAACCTAAGAAGGATAGGCTCAGGAATATATTGTATCTAGGGATAAAAACCTGATGGAAACAAATTCCTGTTTTCTCTGCATAAATAACCCTGTTGATCTCCTCCACGGACAATGTACAAACGGCTGTGCATATCCAGAGCTTTCCCCCATGTTAGGGAAGCTCCCAAACAGGAGGTGTACTCCTGACTGCTTACTTTGCACAGGTTTTGTAGTTACATGCAAGGGGAAACAATGCCTCCAAATCGTTTGGGGCTTTAAACAGGTTAACACAGGTCTCATGTCAGCAGCTCTGGAGATAGTCTGCGACCTAAAAAGAAAAGGGTTTCATTTAACAGCCTCCCATCCAGGAGAGTTAATTGTCACCTGAAAAGGTCATGAGCCAGCAGAACTGTGAAATCTAGTAGTACCGCCAAAGCCCTGCAGGTTTCTACTCAAATTGCTACAGGAAAGGTCCTCCCACCCTCCACCCTCTTCTTTTCAACTGGAAATTTGGTTTCAAAGCAAGGTCTGCCCACAGTGTGCAGGTAGTTCCCTATGCACATACAGCTATTTAGCCATGATTTGGACATACATCAGCAGAAAGGCTTACAAAGCTTTTCCTCCAGACCAGATTCACTTCCCTCCCCTGCTGCCTTGCCATCAGACTGGTCACACTGCTGCTGATGGCACCAGGGAGATCTAGGCTGGGGCACCTCCAAGGGTCATACCTGCAGCATGCCTGCCCCAGGGCTTTCTGCCCCTTTTCTGGCTCATGGCAGAAGTATTTTCCTTCCATCTCAGGCCTGAGACTACAAAAACAAAGAACAATCTAAGCTGCGCCACCTCACAGTGCTATGGTAAGAGGCTACGGACAATTCAGAGGCTGATTGCCAATGAGCATGAGCACTGGCCTTTCCGTCTTTGGATTCGCAACAAAAACCTAGTTTTTCTGACAATAGGATTCAGAGTTAACATTCCTCCTTTAAAGTATGCTTTGCATGCACTGCAGACTCAGGAGGCCTCATTTCTATGAGCTGCTCAGTGGACATTGCCCATCGCACTGCCCACTGGCTCAGAGCACGCAGTGCACATTTGGGTGCTCTATCAATTATAGTTTTAATCAAGGCTTGAATAAAAAAGGGCTTAAAAGATGTTGGGAATATAGGTTTATATTTTTGAGATAGTTTAAAGCCAAAGCTTACAGTGACACTGACCCATGCTGTCAGTGCTGGCTCTTCCAATTCAACTCTCATGTCCATCACCCTTATGAATAGTTGAGAGGCTCAATGTGCTGTTTCTAAATTGCCGTGGACTGTGCTGGAGAAGAAATGGGCTTCAGAAGTGCAAATTGATCGACTCAGTTAAATTAAAAATTAATTTAAACACCCTAAATCTAGGCTTTACTTCAATAGCGTTTGAATTAGCTATATCTAGAATAGGTAAAACCAACTTACACCATGCACACCAAAACCACGCTCCTGGAAATACTAGCTACTGCTCCTTGGTCATAAAACAGACGTTGTATTCAGTACAGACTATAAAAAATGGAAACCTCAACACATTCTAGTTTGAAAATGCCTTTTGGAGTGATTAAATACCTAGAATTGCAAGTGGCAATGTTTTAAATGAATTCTCTTACCTTACGTTTAATTGTAATTTTGCTAAGGAAGGCCTTTGCATGCACAAACCCAGCTATGAGATCAGGGAGTCGGTCTCTTCATTTGTCAGTCATCTGAATTTGTAAGGACACAAGTTTAAGAGTTTCTCCTTGTTCAAAATATACATGCTTTTTGAATGAAAAATCATCAAAGTTGTTAAAATTCTGAGTGTTGAGAAAATATGGCATTTTTTGTGCGGAATGTCCAAAGTTTCAATAATGCAAACAGTGTTATGAAAGGCTGGTTGGATATTTTTTTTAGAAGAAGGTTATTTTGAGATTAAAAAGTGACAATTGCTACATGCTTCATTCCAGTTCCGACATAAGATTTTTTCCGTTTAGAAAGAAATGTCAAGCTTGGCTCACAAGGGACATGTCACAGCAAGCCCATCCCAGTGCCTGGAAATCCTGACCTCCAGCAAGCTGGGTCCCTGTGGCTGGCTGATTTTGGGGTACACGAAGCTGTGAGCTTTAGTTAAAAGCCAGGGGTGCTCCAGAGTTATCTCCCATGAGATCCCCACAATCTCACAGCCGCGTCCGCCTGTTTTCTATAAAGCAGCAGAAACCCTGAAAGCTCTTGCTTTCGGTCACCTCTGGCTGAAATCAGCCAATGGTCCAGAAGCTGCAGGAAGAGGAGAGATATGCTTCTCCTTGCAGAGTTTGCATTTCCTTAGGGAAAGGGGACTAAAAGCATATACCATGAGCAGATTTTCAAAAGATACATTCAGCTACTCGCTGTCGTAAGGAGTGAGATTGGGGAAGTCTTGCGCTACAGTCCTATGACCTGTGTAACATGTGAACACGATGGTTCCCTCTCACCCTAAAATATTTATTCCTACGTAAGAAAACTCTAAAAATAGAAAACTTCCATTGGTGAGGGATCAGAACCACACTCATCACCGCATGAGTTTTATGATGAATCTGAGTTTCCCCATGCCCATGGTGGGAAAACTAAAGTGGGGATTCAAACAGAGTGCTGCACGCGACGTCAAAGGAAGGAGCTGCTTCAGCTCTCCCACTTGCTGCTTTCCCCTCCCAGTTGCCTGGGCGAGGATGTGCCCAGAGACCAGCTGCTGCACGGACAGGGATCCCGTGCCGAATCCTGCGCAAGCTGCCTCCACTCAGGAAGCCGACATGGGTTGAAGGCTACTGTAATAGCATTAATGAATAGTGCCTCACCATTAATTGGTACGTTATTGTTAATAACAGCCTTTCGTGCCTGTTTTGTTGTATTATACGCATACAAATGTATATATTGCTTCAGCGGCTTATGCTTAGGGGTTGCTGGCGATAAGGCCTCTTCTCATCTCATTCCAGCATCGTTTACGTCAGGGAGGGAGAGGAGCCGCCTCTGTGGGTCTGCAGCGCTGCCTACCCACGCACCCGCACCTTCCCGCCTTTCACTCCTGCGCGTTCCCCAGCTCGCTCTGCTCGCAGCGCTCCCGGCTGGGACACGTGTCACTATGTCCCTTCTCACGCCACGCACTGCGGCGTGCAACGCTCCCGCTCCGCTCCCCGACACGCCAAACACCATTCCCCGACCGCGCCGGGCCCATCACGCTGTGCCGAGGCTGATGGGACGCGGGGCGTGCGCCTTGCTTACGTCACTCCCCCGCAAAGAGGCGGTGTGACACGCGCCGAAGGCGTTCCCCGCCGCCGCTACGTCACAGCGCCGC